GGGAGGAGGGGAGCGACTGGGTGGAAACTCTTCTGACTACGAGAAGCGATACCACGCCGGTTCGTAAAAGAAAGAGAAAAAGAATTGACGGGATAGTCAAGACTTGAAGCAAGCAAAACCGATTTTGACGTGATGCCTCCGTGAGGTCGATCAAGAATTTTCTTAAGTATACTCAGCAGAGTACGTTCTGCATACGGTACTCACGCTGCGTGTCCTTACCAGCAGCATACTGTGTTGTACGTACAGAGTACTCTGCTGCTTAGTAACAAGGTGTTCGATTCCTGCTTCAAGTCTGGACCATCCCGTCAATTCATTTTTGTTTTACGAGCCGGCGTTGTATCGCTTCTCGTAGTCCGATGAGTTTCCGCCCGCTCCCCTTCCCCCCCTTCCCCCCCTCTTCCCTCTCTCTTTCTCTGTTTGTTCCAAACCCGCACGGACTTGAATTAGCAACAAACGGTACAATTCTGGATTGCAGTCCTAAACCAAGAAAAAGTTGCCAAATTAAGAAATCTAGCTTGTTTTGCCTCGCAGGTTCGTCAAAGCCTGATCTTTTAGTCATGACTATTCGTGTACGGGTCCTCAGTTGAAGAGTAGCCTAGCGATCCCATATGGCTATTCGTGTTCGGGTCCTCAGTTGAAGAGTAGCCTAGCGATCCCGTATAACCTCCCGAATCTCTCCTTGCTTTAGTGGCTGGCACGCGGCATGTGTAATTAAGTCTTCCCATTTCTGTGCGGAGTGGCGGCACCGCGAGGGAGATGATTGACCTTCCCGTCCTTTTCCCTTCCCGCCTTCCCTCGCCACCCCTGCCATGCTTCTTGAACCAGGGTCCAATTTGACTTGAGAGCACTTCCCTGGTGCCCCAATGAGAGACGTTCAATCCCTGACCCTTCGCACAGCTCGCCATGATCCAACTTAAGACAAGCAAGCGCTCCGAGGTAAGGGGTCGTGTATTGCCACGTGTCAGCATGGCATCATATTCGGTTAGCAAACATGTAAAGCATAGACGTCGTGAATGAATATATTGAAGGGCAAAACGGGGAAAACCAATTGAAGGCAGGCAGGCTTCACGTTGGTAAAAAATCGTAGAGGCGATGATCTTGCATCCGGTTAAGCTCATAGCTGCTGACGGGTGTCGGCATTGCTATACGTGTGCACCCGAGCATAAAATAAAATGGTTTATTATTATTTCTTTTCGCCCTGAAAGGGTAGCCCCTACCATTGTTATTATAGATGATTCCAGTAGGATCCGAACTTTGATCTGTTTAGTAATAGCAACATGGGTGACCCATTCACGCACCTGAGGTGAGGTGGGTGGTGGGGTCATTGTTGTAGGGATTACGCTTGGGGCAGTTGTGGAACCAGATACACAGATGCAATCTGGCTCGAGGGAATGCTGTATTTGGAATGCAGAATAGTTTATAGTTTATGGGTTAGATACCGATGGGTAGTGCTCCTGACATTTCTGTCTCTGGGTGTGATCCTGACATTTCTGTCTCTGGGTGCACGGGGGAGAGCGCCGAAGGGGGTCCCCTATGTGCGCGGAAGTGGGCGGGGGAAGGGAAGGGGGGAGGGAAGGGGGGGATAAGACGAAAGGTGAACGCCGCAACTTTGGGTCCATATCCACCTCTCCCACTGGGTCTGTTATTGTTGCTATTTATATTCGCGTGCATTTCGTAGAGCAATAGACTATGCGCTCTGATACTCTTATATATATGTTTACGTGGTCGATGTGAAGCACGTATCCTTGTCCGCCTGTTGCTTCCTCATCTCAGTGAAGAGAGCATGTGACCAGCGGGTCTGTCTCAGTTGGTATACCCATGAACTGTTGAAATGCTCACTTGCTTATCTGGGGCCGGTCAGTTCCACGATGATATGCCAAGGCCGTCCCGGTTTCAGAAAGAAAAAGAGAGAGAGAGAGAAAGAAGAGAGTATGTGTGCTATTTCTGTAACCAGCCTTGGCAGTTGGCAGCAAGGCGTGGGCTGCTGCAAGAGTGATTAAATGACTAATGTCGCGAGGTGGTCTAAATACCTTATTACAAGGGAGGGGAAATAGGCGAGAAGGGGGGGAAAGGGAAAATCCGTGGAAATAGCAATTCTTAAATGCCGAGAGATAAAAGTAGCCCTGTCCTAGAATGACTGGCGCTCAGCAGTGGGCAGGTGCATATCCTGAACTTGACCCTATGTTATGC